CTAATCCAAATCCAAGCATTTCACTTTATCCTCTTTAACACAAGAATTAGTTCAATTTGAATCTCTGTCCACTCACAACAATACCACAAAAACAGAGATGTTCCGCTCACATCAATACCACAAATTCGACCACTAGAATTCAAATTTACACTATTTAACCCCAGTACAACTATTTGTAGTCAACATACCTTTATAGTGGCTGAGAGTTTGATTTGTACGAGTTCTTGAATTGGGAAAAATTCAGACTCGTGCTCTTGTTTGCTGCATTTCGGACCTCGTCTTCGAAAGGAACTGGGAAATAAGAATTGGGAGTTCTGTAATTCAAATTTACACTAATGAACCTTAATAAAATGATTTGTAGTGAACTTACCTTTATAGTTGGAGATCTGGAAAAAAAAATAGACGCGGTCGTGCTGATTTTTTCGGCTGGATTTCAGAACCGTCTTCGAATGGTGCTAGGAAAGAAGACGTGGGAGTTCTTTCTTCTAAACAGAGAAAATTGGAAACCATGGGAAGAAATCGGAGCTGAAAATGAAGGTAAAAAACGAGATGGATTTCAGATCCTTCTTTGAGATGTGCTAGTATTATTTCTTCGATCGGCAACAAAACACCCGATTTCTGTGATCGGCAACAAAGGGGAAAGGGGCGGGTAGAAAATGGGCTGGTGGAAATGGGCGGATGGAAAATGGCAACAAAGGGGAACGGGGAATGTGATGTGGGTTTCCCTCCGGAAAGAAGAGAGAGAAAAGAGTTGCCACGTGAAAAAAATGAATTCCTGTTTTTGAGTTGGGCTGCTACCCCGTTCGAGTAGCATTTTCTTAATTTTTTTGGAGAATGTATGGTTAATAAGTAAATTTTTTACAATACATGTATAATTATTGTAAGGGTGAATGGGTGGCTGAAAATGATTCTTAAACAAATTGGCTCAAACAAGGGCCACATATCCAAACTTCAAACCCAAACTTGAAGAACTCTTAATCCCCGCGTCTATTCATCGCGTGCAGAACACCCCACCGCCCTCTCTATCGTCCCCTCCACCAGTATAAATTCCCATTAGAACCCGATAACAGTTAATCTAATCAATCATCACTGAACTTTGCCATAGATTGATTACCACTTGCTCATCCATAACTATACCATCCAAAGCATAGCGAAGGACCAAATAGTGTTCCCTAAGAAAAGCTTGGAATTTCAAAGGCACCGCCCAAAACCCTAACCCTAAATCCTAATTTGTTCATTTGATTCAATTCAGTTTTTGAATTCAAGAAACGAAAGAAAAGAAGAGAACTGGAAAGAGGGATTCGTTAATTTAATTGATTTGTATCAGATTTTAATAATTTAAATGATGTCTGCGATAGTGTGCGGGAAGAGATCTTTCTTCGAAGAGATACAAACTACGTCATCGCCAGTGTCGGGGTCCCCGCCGGCTTCCAAGAAACTTCGCTGCTCTTCCGCCACCTCCCCAGTTCGATTCTCCTACTCGCCGCCGAGTAGTCTTATCGATCAGCTCAAGTTTTTGTTTCCTGATATGGATAGTCAGGTTAATTCACCTTCTGTATTAATTTATTCTTTGAATTTCCTTTAGAATTTTATGGTGGTTATGGGGTGACACGGGATATTTCTTTATTGCGTATTCGATGCTTAGATTGACAAAAAAATAGGGTTTGAATTTTGTTTCTGGAAGGACTAAAATTGCCATAAAACTGTTTCTTGAGTTTCTTTCTCTATATCATAACTGCAAAAATAAAATAAAATAACGGTTCCTTGTTGATTATATATGCGTTACTGCAAAGGAGATTGACTTACTTATATATTCAGAGGATCGTTTAACATTCACTTAGTTATTTCTGTTATTCTATTCGCCTCTTAATGTTTCTTACCTTAGCAAATTCGGATAACCATAATTGTTTAGACAATCAATAACTGCTGATTATTACTTAAAATGTTTTGCAGCTTCTTGAGAAAGTTTTGGAAGAATCTGGCAACAATTTAGAGGCTGCTATCAAGAGCCTGCAGGGACTTCGTCTTGGATATGCAGAAGACACAGGGGGCAACTCGAGCGTTTCTGTGGAAGTAAATGCAGGTATGCAGAAAGGTATGCATTTATCTGTTTTCTTATACATGGTGGCGATCAACATGTAATAATGTTAGATAAAATTATGCATTACCAGAAAATGTAGTCTGACGCATATTTTATTGCTTAGTTAATGTTAATAGGGTTTACCTTTTTATGAAGTCTTTAGACTTTAGAGGCTCAGCTTATTCCTGCTCAACTAATACCAGATTAAAAATATAGATCTCAACAATTACAAAAAAAGACGACTAGATGAAATTGGAAATCTCGAACAGGCTATTCAGGTTATCATATGAAAATGTGCCACTGAATAACTTTCGGTGAGGTCAACAGCGATAGTTTGTTAATGTAAAAAAAAAAAAAAAGGTCCTTGAGTACCTATTCAAAATAAATACTAATGTAATTTAATTAAAATATCTATTAAAGACGTTTTCTTTAGGTTTCGTAGAAAATATAAGAAAGAAAAAGCTTGATAGTGAGAAGGGGCTTAGACAGATATATGTGATCTATGCTTATTATTGTGGATTTGTCATGTCGTCTATAAATGTGCTTTTCCTATCATCTATTTCACCTGGAGGGACTGTGATTAGATCTGTCTATGATTTCTATGCTTTAGTTGGTCTTCCCATTTTTGCTACTCTCAAAGAATCATTTCGTAGCAGTTTTATACTTGCTAATAATTAAAAAAGTGTGACATTTTCCTTGATTTTAGGTATTATTATTGACGTGTCTTTGTTGATGTCTTGAATTTTCATTCTAAAGACTCTTCAATGCCTATAAAAAAACATGTGAATCACATAATACATATAAAATGGACAGGTGCGACTCCAACTGTCGGGGGTGCAGTTCATTCAGAGAACTCTCAAGTCCAGAACAACCTGCCGGTGGATGGTGCAGAATGGGTTGAGTTGGTTGTGAAGGAGATGATGAGTGCAACTAGCATAGATGATGCTAGATTCCGTGCAACAAGAGTGTTGGAAAGTTTGGAGAAATCCATCAGTGCTAGGGCTGGTGCTGAAGCTTCTCAAAATTTTCTGAAGGTGGTTATTTCCAATTTTACACACCTATTTTGCTTTTAGATCATTAAAACTGCAAGGTGGTTGTGTAACTGTTGATGGAAAATGGTTTCATTAGCCAACCCATTTAAGGGGAAAAGGGTTTTCTGGTGGCATTAAAAAATAACCGTTGGTGGTTTGTTTGATAGGGAGCACGTGATGGTACTGTGACAATATTCCTGAGCATTATCTAGGAAGAAAAGGAAGCTAAAATTTTCTTTATTATATTGTCGTCCTATCCAATATTGTGCACCAAACATGCACTAGAAGCATATGCTCAATTCAGTTTCTTAGTTTCCACTTTCCACCTTGGGTTGGCTTCTTGATCCTACTTGTATATTAGTTGTTTTTGCTTTGGAAAGATGCATTTGGATTTTTTTTTTTTTTGGAATATAATTAGTAGGAAAACAAGCCAATGCTGCTTGTTAAATATTACAAGAATTGATTCTTAATTTAAGGCCGACTCCACTGTGTTCTCCATAGTGTTAACTACGGCACGGGTTTTAAATTTTTTCGTGCATACCAGGAGAACATGATGCTGAAGGAACAAATTGAGGCACTTCTTCGGGACAATGCCATTCTCAAACGCGCTGTTTCCATCCAGCATGAACGTCAGAAGGAGTATGATGAGAGTAACCAAGAGGTGCAGCAATTGAAGCGTTTGGTGGCTCAATATCAGGAGCAGTTGAGAACTCTTGAGGTAAATACCTTAACTTCATAAAAACTTATTGAGGGACAAGTCAAGTGGGTGTTGAGATATGCCCCAAAAAAGAAGTAACCCTCTTAAAAGTGTAAGTAAACACTTGCTTTTGAAAATGTAACATTTTGTACTAAAATTTCTAAAAAAACGGTGACTTTGAAAGAAAAGCCAAACATGTTTGGAAAAAAATAACTTCTCTTTCATTAACGATTTGCAACCGTTTCCAAATTCCTGATTTTGTTTTCTTTCAGGTGAACAACTATGCATTGACATTGCATTTGCGCCAGGCACAGCAGAGCAACTCCATGCCGGGACATTTTCATCCAGATATATTTTAATAAAGAAAGGAAATACATGGCTCGTATCGACATATCTTTTTAGTCGCATTAAAGGTGTTTCTTTAGGTGTTGAATATTATATATGTTTTAAAAACTAGATGCGCGACATAAAACAGTGCAAGCTAAGTCATGGTGTTAAGTAAAAAGTTTATCAACTCCACTCGAAATTCTATATTGTTTTGCTTTCGAGAGATTATTTTGCCTTGGAATATTTGGCTTCATGTTTTCTGTATTTTGCGACAGCTATATGTTCATGGTCTGTAGTATCAGTTCAAATTTGATTGGAGAATTTGTTGCTGGTATTTTTGTATTTTGCTACAGTTATTTGCTCTTGGTATTTTTAATTTTTGGAACAGAGTTAAAGGGTTTGTTTGGAAGAGATTTTTTAAAATTATTTCAACCATGCATTTTATGGTCCCTTCTAGAGGTTTCGTCCGTTGTCTTGCTCTGTGTATGGTAGGGTTGATTTTCCAAAGACCTGTTTATCCCACAAATTCACCTGCAATTTCTTCTGATGCTTCGGATAGGTTTAGGTTCATCCTACAAGTCCACACAATTCATTATACGAAGGAGAAAATCTTCAATCCGTGGATTTATAATGATGATACTCACAATTTTATTATGCATAATTGCCAATTATTCCACATCAAGTTTATTATGCATAATTGCCAATTATTCCACATCAAGAACAAGGACAGTTGGATGGAGAAGTGAAAATTTCATTAAAAGATACAGAAATACAAGTAATGAAACGAACTATCATGTCATAAAGAAAAACAAGCTTTCTTTCCTTCTGCTAAAAAATACAGCAGCAGTTTGCATGCATAATTTGTTTAATGCTGAACCTTTTTGGCATGGGAGGAAAAAACTCTTCCATTGTAAGGTCCAGTTTTTTCCATAACGCATGCCATATAGGTTTTCAAACAGAGTCCTGGCAGTAAACTTGTCACAAGATCTTAGCGCCATTGACTAAAACTCACGACTGCCCCAACACAAGTATGGGGTGTTAAGAGACCTTTCTTTGCCACAAATGGTATTTCCAACCCTTCAATGAATTCTATTATGTTTTCTTTGGTTACAGCTCTTCCTCTTGTTAGTTCCTTCAATTTCTCATAAGGCTCTGGGACACCATATCCCAGCTAGTAGTATACAACTTCAAAAATCCTCATACCATGAAATGAGTATATATACCTGCCATCGCGAAATAGGTAATTTTGTGCTCAAATGATACAAGCCTCCATTAGCCATCCCAAGATTGCCCTCACTATTTTCAAAATCAATTGGATTAACTTTGTGAAGCATTGTCGAAGATCCAATCTTGCCAGCCTTAGTTATCTGCTTCAGAGTTAGCATGTCAAGTATCACGCCCTTAAAAAATAACAGCACAAATGAATGAATGCGCTCACCTGCTTGAAGTAACCCAAAGAAATATATCCCCATGTCTCTGTCGAAGTCCACTAAAATGCTGTAGAACGGGATGATGGAATGGAAAAGTTTGGCCATATAATCATGAGGTTCAATCTGTACAAAAACATTTAAAATTAACATCATGAGTCTAAATTACATAAAAAGCATTCTTCTTTTTTGTCCCCCTCCCCTTTCTTCCTTAATATTTGGGTGAGCTTGAACTAAATCGTAGGCTAGCGAGCCAAAATATGATCTCCATTTCAGGGGTAAAGGTAAAAAAAAGGTTTTCCCGGACATGAACTTCAATATAGTTGCTATACAGTCTGGAGGGCTCCTGATTCTCCAATAAATCAAGTATTAAATGGAAACATAAAAAGAAGGAATCATTGAAGACTGCAATAGAAAAGCAAGGGGGACTTGAGCAGTCCTAAATTTCACAGGATCAAGACCACATGAACTAAACCTTTAACTGACATCAACAAACCATGACAAATGTGTAAACAGAATTTTTCTTTTTTTTACCAAATATAACTGAGGCACATAGGGATTGAAACTTATTCCAAGAGATGTCACAAACTCCTCTGCAATTTGCAACCAGTTAATGTCAGGATAAGCAGCTAGATGTGCATTGTAGTTTCCAACTGCGCCAGCAAACTTCCCTAAAATCTCAATTTGAGATATATTTTTCCTTTCTCGACTTAACCTGTATGCAAATATTGCCATTTCCTTCCCCCTACAGAATAACAATATGATGAATAATTCATCCAGGGTTATTATAATTTATAAGTTGAAAACAAAATATCATGTTATCCCAACAGATATAGGTAGATTTCCCCCAAAGTAGAGAATCTGTGCCAATTATGCACCGAGAAGTGACACCTTCAATGTAAATGCAAATTTGCAAACAAAGCTATTGTCAAAATTTCAATCTCAACTTGGCCTCATTTTTTCATGGTTTATTCTTTCTATAACCCCTTAACCCTCCCTCAAGAAGAAAAGAAATATCCAAAATATAAAAAAATAAGACAAATATTTGTGTAACGTATGTCTATTGAGAGACAGTGAGCCTTTAAAGTATAACTTAGACTATGTCCATGCACACGATTTACCTGTCCATGAGTTCGAGAAAGCATTGGAATGCGAGCATTTGCAGTGGCCATGTTAGATATTGTTGTGATCAGCTTGTCCATAACCGGTAGTATGACTTTATCTGAGACTTCTATGAGCATCAATGTATGGGCCAGATTGTTGATGTCTTCAGATGTACAGGCAAAATGGAAAAACTCAAGCACCTTGGATCACACACAGGAAAAGACATGCTCAATAAAAGAAAGTTCTATCTCTTTGACACATAAAAATAAAACTATCATCAACATGTTGAGGCCACTGTTCTAAACAGGCAGACAAGAAAAATTTCAATATTTCATAGTTGTACCTTGGCTATCTCTAGATGTGAATGGCATCTTTGTTTCGAGAAATATTCCACTGCTTTCACATCATGGTCAGTCACTCTCTCAATATTCTTAACTTCCAAGGCATCATCCAAGCTAAATCCATCATTCTTGCAAAAAAAGATTCTGCTTCTTCAGAGAACCTTGGGACTTCAGGCACATCATGTATTTGAGACAGCTTTACCAACCACTTAATCTGCCAAGAATTTCTGGGTCAATGTAGCATTTCCAATTTTATTTATTTGGAGGCAAGGTACATTGAGAAAAAAAAGATAGACGTTAATGAAGATAACTATACATTCAGAATACAATCAATAATTTTTATTTATTTATTTATCTTTTTTTGGGAGTTGGGGGTAGATGCGACGGAGTGCGATGAAAGATGGATAAATAATAAAATAATTTATTTTAAAATATTGCTTATTCTAGAAAATTTCATGTTTAATAATAAAAGTAAAATAATAAATTTCATGTCACTAAAATTATTAGATAATAAGTTTAACTATGTAGTAACAGTTATTAAAGTACCTTCAATGACATCTGGCCACAGCTTTTTCTTTCTTTTTTTTTTCCCTTACGTTATTGAGTGAGTTCGATTGGAACCACTAAATACTTTTACTTAAATAATAAACTCAAATGAGATCAATACGTTGACAAAATTTATTTATACTTTTATTATTTAAAAATTAATCTAAGGAGAAAACTTTAAAACTTTAAATATTTTATCTTAAATAAATTAAAATGTCATATATTCGAAAAGTTTAGTATTTAAATGGTAGAGATTTCTTGACAATGGATTGGAATATAAAACAATTAACTTAAAACTGTCACCGATGACGGTTCCCTGTTGACAATCAATGTCGTCTTCGCTAACATCTCAGTAGGTCACATCACATGTTTCTTAAAAATATGTAACTAGCATTAAAATGATCTTCTACATGCATTTGTAGCTATTCAATCGTTTGTTACATTACAGTTATTGAAATAAAATATAGTAATAGAACATAATTAATTGTTCAACAACGTAAAGCAAAAGATTTTGGATTAGAACTATACCTTGACTAAAATTCGAAACCTAATCGGACCAAACTCACTCATAAATGGAGACAATTCCTTGACTTTAGCCCAATAACGACCATCCAATGGACATAGGGCAGTTAAACTCGAGAGCTCCACATCCCGAGAAAAATCAGCAGGCATTGCCTTTACCTGAAAAACGTAGTACTATTTTGAAAGCATTTGGCAAATAAACCTTGACATGAAAAGATATAAACTCTCGAGAATCAGAAATTAGGGTTGGTATATTAAGATACTTTCTCAGTATCTTGTCATTATCTAACAAAAGAAATAATTCAATGCATGGAGTTTCTGATACACAAATGCAGTCATATTAGCAAAAGAAGTTCTAGATTTACAAAGAAATGATTCTTAAATTACGTGTTTACACTTGCATTATGAGTCCAACATAGTACGGACAAAGTTATTATGATCAATGCACGCATTAATCAGCTTGCTGTCATTAATTCCACTGCTTGCTACACTCACAGTTAGAATGCATGACAAAGTACTATAACTTTCAACTTCTCGTCATATGTTGAAACAGATTCTTATTGCAATGGTAAGAAATTTTCTCCACACTAATTACAGATTATTACATGGAAATATATACAAGAGTATAAAGTATATTCTAGGAAAGAGTGCTGAAAATGAGCCTTGATTGTTACAAGATTTCTGGCTGTGATTGCAAGGCTGTTACAAAAGATTTTGCAGCTGGTACGAGCAAATATCATTGCTGAAATCAAGTTGCATGATCTTGTGCTTGAGTTGAGGAATCTTCCTTTATACGCCCCCGCAAGATGGAGCTGCCATCGGCTAAGCCAATCTTGATCTTGAGTGAATCGGTGCGCTGTCTAGATAAAGGTTTTGTCAATAAATCTGCAAGTTGATCTTGAGTAGTTACATGACGAACATTGAGGATGCCACGTTGAACCATATCACGAACAAAATGTAAATCAATCTGGATATGCTTCATCCGAGAGTGTTGCACGGGATTAAAACTTAGGTGAGTGGCACCTAAGTTATCACACAACAGTGTTGGTGAAGCTTTCATTGGGAGGCCAAGTTCTTTAAATAATGATAGCAACCACACAGTTTCTGAAGCGGCGTTAGCAAGGGATCTATATTCAGCTTCTGTCGACGATCGTGCTACTGCTCTTTGTTTTTTAGAGCTCCAAGAGATAGGATTACATCCAAGAAAGCTGATATATGCTGATGTTGAAGTACGATCATCAAAGTTACCCGCCCAATCAGCATCTGAGTATGTTGTGAGATGAAAAACTGATTTTTTTTTAATGTGGATCCCATGAAAAACTGTTTGCTTCAAGTAGCGGAGGAGTCTCTTTGCAGCTGCCCAATGTGCAACTGTGGGTTTGTGCATAAACTGGGATAGTTTGTTGACCGAGAAACAGATGTCGGGACGAGTGAGAGACAAATATTGAAGTCCTCCAATTACACTTCTGAACTCAGTACTGTTAAAAGAAGTTGTGCCATCAACTAACTTCAGTGTGGTGCTTGTGGACAGTGGAGTGGAAACTTCTTTGGCACCTGTCATGTTTGTTTTGGAAAGGAGGTCCAGAATATATTTGTGTTGAGAGAGAAACAAACCTGATGTGGTTGGAATAACTTCCATGCCCAAGAAGAAATGTAGCTGGCCCATGTCTTTTAATGAGAAACGAATTCCAAGTTGTTGAATGATATGAGACACAAAATGATTGTTGCTGCCAGTGATGACCAGATCATCCACATACACCAATAAATAACACAAGACAGAGTCTTGGTGATAAATGAATAGGGAGGAGTCCGCTTTTGAATTTGTAAAACCAAGATTCATGATGGCCAATTTTAATGCAGAGTACCACGCTCTAGGAGCCTGTTTAAGGCCATAAATTGCCTTTTTCAACCGACAAACATGGTTTGGTTTTGAGGCATCTTTGAAGCCCGGAGGTTGGGCCATATACACGGTTTCAATTAACTGGCCATGCAAAAAAGCATTATTCACATCGAGTTGTCTTAAGGACCATCCCTGCATCACAGCAACTGTTAAAACAGTTCTAATTGTAGCGGGTTTGACAACGGGGCTAAAAGTTTCCTTGTAGTCTAAACCAGGACGTTGATTGAAACCTTTAGCTACAAGTCGCGCTTTAAAGCGATCAACAGTACCATCAGCCTTGCGTTTAACACGAAATACCCATTTGCAACCGATGGGTGTGCAGTTTTTTGGTGGATGAACTAGTTCCCATGTGCCATGACGCATAAGCGCAGTCAGTTCCTCAGACATAGCTGCTCTCCAGTGAGGTTCACGAAGCGCTTGTCCCACACAGGTCGGCTCAATGGTGGTGGGAATGGTGTGTTTGGTGGTTGAATTTAGTTGTTTTGGTTTGTGAATGTTGTTCATTGACCGAGTGGTCATGGAGTGGGTTCGGGTAAAGGTCTGAGTAGGGGGATCACAGGGCACGGATGAAGGGTTGATGGGTAAAGTGTTGTCTTGTGTGATAAGATTCGTGTGTGAATCAGATGAAGAGGTTCCAATATCATGCGATGGAGAAAAATTAGGACACTCATGAGCAGAAACAAGATTGTGAGAAACAGAATGAGAGAGACTAGCAGTGTTACCTGGAGGTGCTGGAATGGTGTTGGGCCCTGCCGAAATCACTGGTGGAGGTTGCGTTGGAGTTGTCACATGGATGTGGGACACTGCTTTGGACAACGGGATTTCAGGGGCTTGGGGAAGACCAGTTTGAGTTTCATCAAAAAGGACGTGGCGTGAGATATACATACGATTTGTCTTTGGATCAATGCATTTGTATGCATTTTGGGCAGATGAGTAGCCCACAAACATACAGGCTATTGATTTGGGTTGAAGTTTGTTGGAGTTATATGGCCGAGTAAGAGGAAAGCAGAGACAACCAAACTTTTTTAATTTCAAGTAATTCGGTGGCTGTTGGAATAGTGCTTGAAAGGGTGACTTGTTGTTTAAGAGGGGTGTTGGTTGCCTATTTATCAGATATGCGGCGGTGGAGAAAGCATGAGGCCAGTATTTTAAGGATAAGGAAGCATCATGTAATAGAGTGAGACCCGTTTCAACTAAATGACGATGTCTGCGTTCGGAAACACCATTTTGTTGGGGAGTATGGGGAGCGGTGGTATAGTGGCTTATTCCGTGAGAAGAAAAATATTTTTTTAAAGCCATAAATTCACCACCATTATCAGAGTAAATGGTTTTGATTTTTCCTTGAAATCTGGTTTCAACGAGACGTTTGAATTGAGGAAATATTGTGCTAACCCCAGATTTTGTTTCCATAGGATAAAACCAAATGTATTTTGTGAAGTGGTCTACAAAAATCAAATAATAGCGTGACCCGTCAATACCAACTGAATTTGATGGACCCCAAACATCAGTATAAATTAAGTTAAGCGGTGCATGACTTTGAAGACTAGTGGAGCGAAACGGTTGCTTGTGTGCTTTATTAACAGAACAAGAGGTACAAAGCTGAGAGACTTTTTCATTTATTATTGGAAGAGAAAAAGAGTTGACGAGATGATGAACAATTTTATTGGAAGGATGTCCAAGCCGTTTGTGCCACCCATCAATGGACGTCCGTTCATGCACATTCGCAACAATTTGTGGAGAAGATTTTACCATTGATTCCGGTAGGGTGTAGACACCATTTTCACAGGCACCTTTGAGTAGAACCGCCCCCGTGGTCTGATCCTTAACAAGGAAAAAGGAAGGGTGAAATTCAACAAATACATGATTTTGAGAAGTAAAATGATGGACAGAAATAAGGTTTTTTTGGATATGAGGAACACAAAGAATATCATTTAAATGAAAGGTGCGTGTGGGTGAGTGTAGAAGCAATGAACCAATGTGAGAGACATGCAAACCTGAACCGTCACCGATTACAACCTCGTCGGTGCCATCATATTCAGTGTGAACTGATAAATTAGCCAAATCACCAGTGATATTATGGGATGCTGCTGAGTCAATGAGCCATTTTGTGTTTGCAGCTGGTGAGGTGGAGGTACAATTTGCTGTTGCCTCAGAGAACTGCACACGGGGACAGTGTTTTGCAATATGGCCGAACTGATCACATATTTGGCATTTAGGTGTGTACCGGCGTTGTCCAGTGGGCTTAGTTTTCTTAATGTCACGTAGGCCACCATTTGTGCAATAATGGGCCGAAGATAAATTTTGTGGTAAAGCAAAGTTGGGTCGGCTAGACCCAGGTGATTTCGAGTAACCCTTAGAATTTGGACCAGCTGAGGAGTAGCCATGGCGCCGATTTGAGTAGTTGGCTGAGGCGACCAGTTGCTGGGATGATGCTTCAAGACGCCGCAGATAGGCATCGTGACCTACAAGGAGGTCATGTAATTCCTCAAATTGAAGGGGTCGTTCTCGTGCACGAATTGGAGCTGCGATTTCGCGGAAGTCGGTTCCCAGACCGTTGAGTATGTAAAGGGTAAGATCATCTTCAGAAATAGGATGATCAATGAGGGAGATTTCATCAGCAAGGGCTTTGACTGTATGCAGATATTCCTGAACTGTTTTATTTCCCTTCTTGATCAGAGTGAGCTCCTCTTTCAGTTGCATTGCACGGGTACGAGATTTACTCGCATACATGGTATGTAATTTTTGCCAGGCTTGTCGAGAAGTTTTGGCAATGGAGATGAGTGGTGTGATTGTGGTGGATGTGGAAGCTAAAATGGCGCTGAGGATAAGTTTGTCTTGTCTTATCCAGTGAATTTTTTGAGGGGTGGAAATGGAGAGATCTGTGGCATTAGGGCAAGGTTTGTCGCCGGTGACGTAGTCAAGTAGGTCGTACCCGATGAGAAGGGCTTCAAACTGAGCACGCCATTGGGGAAATGTTGAGGGTGTGAGTTTTTCATTTATCTGGGAAGAAATATTGAGAGCAATAAGAGGAATTTCTGTTGGGGATTGTGGAGTAGAAATCGGGTTATGGCTGGTTTCAATGGTAGGGATCGAATTCTCAGTGGAGGAAGGCTGCTCTGATACCATATTGAAAGTTGAAGAGCAGTATACTTGAAACAGATTCTTATTGCAATGGTAAGAAATTTTCTCCACACTAATTACAGATTATTACATGGAAATATATACAAGAGTATAAAGTATATTCTAGGAAAGAGTGCTGAAAATGAGCCTTGATTGTTACAAGATTTCTGGCTGTGATTGCAAGGCTGTTACAAAAGATTTTGCAGCTGGTACGAGCAAATATCATTGCTGAAATCAAGTTGCATGATCTTGTGCTTGAGTTGAGGAATCTTCCTTTATAGTACTAACATCCATCCCATTGAGCGATATCTACGGCATTACGTGTACTTGGGTAGAAAAATTAATGGGGAGAGATCTTTTTCTTCATTTCATTAGCCAAATTACATTATCAGTATCCTGTCGATTTCGCACATCTCATTTCAATCTCAAAGAACTGAAGAAGAATAATAAGCACTTCCATATTCAATCATTTATAGTATAAGGATATCAGGCTCAGGGAAAAGGCCCCTTATCAACATAAAAAATTCCATGGTTTTATAAGCTATTTCACTGAACATGTGAAATACATTATATTCTAACAAAAAATAACTAAAATATTGCAAAAATAACAGTACTTGTGCAGTCAAATTATACGTATTATTGTAATGCAGTTACCGTTTAAAGAGCACGAACAATACTCGCCAAAAGTGCAGTTACCAAATTTACTGAAGTGAATACAAAACTCGAAAAATTAACAAATAACAGTTAAATACATGTAAACACAAAAATTTGTTGGATAAAATAACAGTAAAGTGCAGAAAAACCTTTCAAAAGATCGAGTCTCGTGACAGCACGATGTCCTAAAGCGAAATTGCCCGTCGATAACTGCTGCGACCTCTGTGGACAATCACCTCCAGGATACAACGATCAAATAAACCAATTGTGCAGCAATCACAAAAGGTTTTCAGAACTCTCAAGTGTACTCCAGAAATATGTAAAA